TCCTTGTGTTAAACCTGTAATGCCCCTTCTTGCACAATCAAATTCCAAAGGCTGTTGCCTTTACTGGAGCACACTTACAGCTGCAGTGTGTGGTCTGCATTGCATGGGGAAACAATCTCTCTGCTGCACCAAGCCAGGCTTTGCTACTAAGCCAGTTGTGTGGTTGGATAAGAGAGCAGGACCTTCCACATTGCCAAATATTGCTTCTACATATGATCCAGCAGCGTGGTCAAGAAAATTCAAGACATTGCTTGCTAGAAACTTGTGAACTAAGAGCAGTTGTCGCACTTGTTTTAAATATATACTTTAAGACAGAAGAACAGGTTTGCAGCTTTGTTTCAAATTATGGGAACAATCTGCATTTTAACTAAGTATGTCATTAAAGTTGCCCTAAAAATTAATGGAAGGTTGGATAAGTCACTGAACTGTTGAGTGAATTGCAGTCCTTAATGTGTGATTCTGTGGACTGTGGTATTTTGAGAGGAATTTCCAGCACTGGCTGTACTGAAGGAATCACAGTCTAATCATGAGATGGGGATTCTTCTGTACTTTGGGTTGCAGAAGAGGAATTTCTGTGGCCCTTCCCATTTTTCAAAAATATTTTTGAGATTAGTTTCTCCCATGAGATACTGCAAAAACCACTATACTCCCAAATCAGATAGGAATTGATTTTCAGAGAGGCTTTTCCAGGCAAAGGAATCTTTATTCTATCTGCACATAACTACTGAGGAGTTGGAGCTCTCCACAAGCTCCCCCGACTTCACTGTGAACAGTGATAAATACAGATATACAGCACAGCTCCCTTTCCAAGCCATGCCTTAGGGCAGAGCAAACCTCACCTTGACACAGACGGATGCTTTTGCTGAAAGCCCTCAGCAGAAACCGAGCCGTATTACCATTGTAGGAACACACAAATGAGTTGCTGAGGGAAGCAATTTACTGCTATCCAATTCCTCTAGAGCTGCTGTCCATTTACAGGCTCCTACCCTGCAGCTCATAAGGTACAGCTGGCTATCTTCTGCAGAGGAATAATGACTTGAGAAGTGTTAGGGAGAACAGCAGCTCAGAGAGACAACTGGGAGTCACTGATCCTATCCTTGTGCCTCATTTCTTTTGAAGGACAGAGCATTAATGAGGCACTGCCCTGAAACATGTAAGGAAGCTGAAAAGAGAGGAAAAGTGAGCTTTCACTCAACATGAAATTAGGATGTCAAAGAACAGTATTAAGATACCAGCAAAACCAAGGAGAAGAAATTCTGTAATCATCTATTGATCAATATTAGAAGCTTGCATAATAAACAAGAGGAGGTTCAATTGCTCATTTGGGAGCATATTTTGACCTAATTGTTGTTACTGAAATCTGCTGGGAAGATCTGATTCACTGGAATATTAAAATTAATGACTACAACCTATGTAAGAACAATCAAATGTGGGGGAGAAAGGATAAGGGAGGGGCAATCTGTCAAGGGATACATTGCCTATTTGAACACATTTACACCAGAGAAACATGCTCTCAAATATTAATAGGCTAACTTATTTTAACCCTTCCAGAAGGAAGGGTTCTTTTCCAGTCAGGGCAACGTGGGTGCAGTCAGGTCACGGGCTCTTCAGGCTTTTCTGTGAGCATTTTGACATGTGAATCACACTCTCTTTTGTACACTGTTATTGCTGTTTGTTTTCTTATCTCATTGCTGTTTCCAGTAAATTGTTCTTACCTCAACCCACGAGCTTTACCTTTTGTGCCTCTAATTCTCTTCTCCATCCCACCACAGGGGGGAAGGGGAAGGGAAGGTGAGGGAGCAAGAGAGTGGCGCATGGTTTTGAGAGTCTTGGTGGGGGCACTGAACTGGGGAGTACCATTCCTAAACTGCAACAGAACTCCAGCTTATACTGTATGCGGTGTCTAATGCTGCTGCTGCTGAAACATAATGCAGCTAGTAATGAAAAATACTTCTGAAAATTGTAGGTGACTATCACCTAAGTTGGAAATGTGGCGTCATTATGCATTTATCTGTATTACACCTAATCCTGATGGGTGTAAATTATTAGTACCTGAGATGCAGGTGTTCTTGACTTGCACATATTTATTATGCGAAAACAAATTACTATCGAGATAAATAATTCTGTGCATGAGGTCCAGCAAGTTCTGATCAAGGAAAAAAAAAAGGCCCCACTTTTTTAAAATAAACCTAATTTTAAAAGTTAGAGAAAGCAATTTTAGGGGGGGAAAGGAGAGAGAGAGAATTTTACACCAAATATAGAAACAGTGAATAAGTAGTTGTGAACTCCTGTTTCTGAAAATAAAAATAATTTTGGAGCATTCAGAGGGAGAAGAACTAAAGCTCGAGAGGAAGGATGTATGTGTGTGTATGTGCTACTTCTTTTGCTCCATTACAAAATTGAAATGCTAATAGTGCAGTGGAAGTGCTCAGTAAAACATTATGGTTTCAGTTGTAGTCAAGTCAGATAGTATATATAGTATATATAGGATATGATGAACTATTTTCCATGCTATCAGTACTACAGAAGCACCAACTGTTGAAGAAATAGTTTGTAACAAGGAGATCTGTCTGGTTTGTGCCTGAAAGCTTTAAAAATCAGTGGTAAAGAATTCTCTGGGCTGTTAATGACTCTTTTGTCTCCTTTTGTTCAGTATAATAATGATAAATAATATAAAAATATTTTCAGAAAAGATAAATGTGATGATTGGAGGGCATCAGCCTCTCGTTCTGGCAGCTATCAGAAGCATAGCAGAGAAATAGAAAGTGGAAAAATCAACTGAGTACCAAATTAAGGGAGAGGAAATTGTTTAATGGCAGTTGCCATGAGTTCATGGAAAACCTTTTTGGAGAAAATTACCTTTTCTAAAGTTTATTTTTACAAGAAAGTTGTTTGTACAACAGAACATTGTATGTAAGTGTACCACCTCAAAACTGTAACCTTTCTCAGCCAGGTGCAATCTCTAATCTCCCACAAATCTAAGTAACTAGAGAGCACAACATCCATGCAGAGCACATCTAACATGCAAAAGTACTGCAAATCCATAGATAGTTAAATGTTAAGGAATCATTAGAAAATGAGTGTGTTTCTAGAGACTGTTCTTGGCCTTGTGATCCCTTCCACTGGTGACCTGGGAGAAAATGAGTCAGTACTGATTTGGTGTGGATGACAGGGAACAGGTCACTGAGGTAACAGGATGTGTAAACAGGAAGGATTTTAATGTCTGAGGACAGAGTTATCTCTAGCTAGTCCAGGATCTAGGTGATTTTTCCTTGATGTTGGCCTCTGTACTACAGACTGTTGACCCTGAAAAGGACTCGTTGGGGAATAAGGTGGATAATAAAGTAAATGTGAACAGTGATGGTCAGTGCAGAAAAACGGTCAAAAAGTGATATGATTGTTGGGTGTTTAAACTGAAGAATGTCACAGATGGTATTTGGCTTTGATGACAACTCTTCTGGAGCAATATGTCCAGCTCTGGTACCTGTAACTCCAGAAGGTGTCAACATACTGGCAAAGGGCACCAAGGGTAATAAGAACAGCAAAAGGGGAAATACCACAAATGAAAGCCATGAGCAGTGCCATTTGTTTAATTTATTCAAACCATAGGAGATCATTTATTGGTATTGAAAAATGAAATCTGACACTAAAGGACACTTTAAAATGCCAAATGCAGGCATAGGAATTCGGTATCTAGAAAGAAGGAAAAATAAAATGAGATATACATTTGTAAAGATAAAGGCAAATGACCCCTATGGCAACTTCGTAAGAGTGGTGATAGAATTTCTACAGTGGCAATTATGTAATAAAGTTTGATATGTATTAATCTCTGGAAAATGCACAACATGCTTTAGACAGAAGTCAATTTGAGAGTCTCGCCTGCACTGTTTTTCATGGAAACCCAGTCCCAGAGGTAGGAGGGAGAGATTCCTTTCAGCTAAAATCTGGGAAAATTAGGAAGGACTGTTGTGGCTTTCTTTTTCCTGTTTACATTTAAAGAATGTAAATGCAGCTGTTTCATTGGTGGTGTTTGATTTACTGTTGCTACAGCACATAAAGCTGCTATGAGAAAAGGAATCACTTTGATCTCTGTCCATCCAACAGCCTTGTGTAGTGAGGCCGTGCACCACCACGGTACTGTGATACTTTAAGTGGTTTTCAACTCCCTCTGAAGATTTCTGTGGTTCTTTTCCTTTGTTTCGGATATCCAGCTCTCCTTTATCATTTTGTTAAAAATCAAAAATAGGAGTGGCTAATGGTAGTGAAACAGTAAGAGTATAATTTATTTCTCTTTTACTTGGTGAAGAGTTTTGATGTCCGTGTCAACAGTAAGATTGGTGTAAATGTTTTTAAGATCAGAATATTCAAGATATTCATTTTACTTTTTAGGATACATAGCCTTTCTACTAGTTTCTTGTTAAGATGAATTTTTTTTCTTTTATTCCTGCAGAACTAAACAAAGTAATCTGTAAAATACACCACAGCATATATGATATATGAGCATTGTCTAATCTCATAGTTGGGAATCAAAAAGGGGAAAAATGCAAGCAGTAACCTTGCATAAGGATATCTATAATTAAAGACTGCCAGAGAAAATACTGTTTAAATGCCCAGTACCTAATATTCAAGGACAAAAAAAAGGACAGGATTTATACATTATCGGTGCCAATTAAGAGTAAATGTGACTGGGACATACGTCAATGCCAGTTATGTGTCTGGTGGAGCGGGAATAAATAAAAATGACTGAAATAAGAATAAAGGGAGAGCCAATCAATGAAGCACTAGTGTTTTCAGGGATGCTTTTCTATCACTGGTACCGTTCTACCACCCTCCAATTGACTGATTTTGAAAAGAGGAGCACTATTAAGCTTAATAGATTCAATAATATACAATAGCTTCATTTTGACAGTATTCTTGAAGGCAGGTGGATTTTGGTAAGCAAAATCAGACCTTAATTTGAAAATCATGCTTTCTGTTAACAACACTGAATTTTTTTTCAGAGTATGAAGGATCTGGGACAGAAGTTCAGAGAAAACACTCAAAATGTGGAGTTTGCAAATATAGGGCTGAGTGTGATGAAGATGCAGAAAATGTTGGGTATGTAATGTTTTCTTTAACAATATCACTGAATAAAAGGGGAAAAATGTTAAAAGAAAAGAAAAAGTACATGATCTTGACTTGTTTGTACTTGGCTTGTACTTGACTATGTTTGCTCTTACTAATTGAAGATTTAATGCTGTCCAGTAATAATGTGTTTGATATGTGTCTGTAAAGAACAAACTGTCTGCAGTTGCAAGGTAAACAGAGAAAACAACAAAGAGTTGTACTGGACGGTCTTTATATAATAATTTTCAAACAAAGGACCTTGGTTTGTTTTATTCTGCCAACAAAACAACCCAAAACCCAAACAGGAATGCAAAATAATACTGATAATTCATCCCTGAGATTTTTTTCTTTGTGTTCTGCTTGTTCAGAAAGTGTTACAGAAAGTTATTTCCATCAGTGCAAAGCTTGGACCTAAACACGAAGTTGAACTGGGGACCTGAGCCAAAGTCACTGTGACATTTGACCTCTTAGATGCACCCAAGGGAAACTCATTGAGAAATATTAATTACTTGTCAAAGTTCAGAACAAATTATCAAGAAAAAAAGAAGCTTTTAAAGACAATCCATAATGCAGAAGCAGATGCACCCAATCTCCCCACTCAAGGTACTTGGTGGTTAGAGTATACCCTGGCTGTCAGAAAGGGCAGAGACATCATGGAGGAAAGGACTTCTTTAGACAGCCCCATGAGGCATTAAAGGTTTTATGAGAGGTAAAAGAAGTTCCACCTGACAGGGTTTTGCATTCCCATAGCCATTGTCCTGGCAGTGGACACCAGTGTGGAAGAGGCTTAACTAAGGTCTGGGCTGATGGCAGGCACTGGGGTTGCAGCTGCAGACGCGATGCACGAAGATGTTTGAGAGATGTGCACGTGGTACATTTTGTGTACACAGAGGGAACAGCATCTCAGAATAATGTGCTTGAACATCACTAATCGGAGGAAGCACCACTCTCCCTTCTCTTGTCTTCCAGCCAGAATCCATTTAATGTTGAAATATGTCTTAATTGCACAAGACTTTATTTGGGATATCCGCATGAAGACATCTCAGGCAGTAAAGCAGCTTAGCACTAATATTCAAGACGTGTATTCAAGATTAAATCATAACATACAAGGGAAACCAAAATGGTAATAGTACGCATGAATACTAGCACGATACTTCACATTTCATAAAATGCCATAGTACAGAAGTAGGCTTGCTCTTTCTAGGAGAGAAAAATGAGCTGTAGTTGTTGTTATAATACTAATAATTTTCTGCAATATTACCTTGTTCTATTTCATTTATGACTAGCAAGATAGGTATAGATTTGTTTGTTGTATGCACTGAGATGTGCTTTTGGCTTTGGAAAATAAATCCTGAAACATTCAACTTCAGTAAAAGCTTTGCTAGTCTTTCTGCACTTGTGGACCTGGCATTCCTGCAGCTATATAGTATCTATAAGAGAGTTAAAATAAAGTTGAGTGGAAGATTTGTTCTCTACATCCTGCTCATATAAAATGAAACCAAGCTCCTGCTCCTTGACAACAAGAGGAGAGTGGTCTTTTTGTCTCTAAGTTTTTTTTAATGAGTCCTCATTAAAAAAATATGTGGAAACAAAAACTTTTATGTAGAAAATACTCAAAAGTTAGCAAATATTCCCATGAAGGTTATTCACAATTTATTGGATAATTTTTCTTTTTTTTTTTCAGTTTTCAAACCTGTGTAATTTAATTTTTTCTCCAGTATCTTTGACCATTGAAACAGGCTTTGGTGATACTCACTGTTTAGATATAGATTAAATCACAGAAGCAATGGAATTGAAATCTTCTGTTTGGGAAACTTCAGTAGAGTACCCCTTACAAATGCTTTTTACATCTAATTTTTACTCCCTTTCCTTCTGTGTTTCAATGTGGGTTTTAACATCCTAAAATTATATGCAGCACAAGTGTTTTTCATTAGACTTGTATAAACATTGCTGGTCTGAATTATCATTTAATTCAATTTTACACCATATTAAAAACACTATCACCCCTAATTCTAGCTAATCACAGAACACACTAATTTCATAAAAATGTTTTGTTTTTATTTTCTGTTTTAAGACTTGAGAATGGTCACTGAAAATTTTTGAATAGTAGTGCAATGTCTATTGAACCATGAACTAGAAGTACATTTATTTCTGTTCAAGTAGATTTCTTAGGCCTGCATAACCCTTGCTTGCACCTTGTGATGCTAAAACACTTAATAGAGTGTTTACATGATTACAGAAGGCATTTAAAGAGAATTTTGTTTCATCATAGTACCTGGATGAGTTAGCTGAACTGTTTCCTAATGTTTAATAGATAATCTCGAGCCATATTCATGATACATACAGTAAATATACAGTCATGCATTTTTTCATTTTCTTTTCCAAGCTGTGCAATCTGAGACCTCATCTCCTTCTGCTCTGAGTGTTCTTGAGAAGCAATATAGTATTTGTATCCTGATTTTGAATAAGGAAATTAAATAAAAAATAAAGTATTTAGTGCATTGGTGAAAGAAGAGATATAGATGCCAGCAAGTGTTGAGTGGTTTGAGGTAAATGAGCTGGCATTAATGAGGAATCCCAGGACCTGCTACGAGGCCAGCCACCACAGACTGGAGCACAGAATAGGCAGAATTTCCCCCAGTAATGGGAGGATCCTGCTAAAGACGATTTTATTCCATAGAGACTGTGGTTTGTCTTTTGGGCCAGGATAACTGTGAGAGTTCTATGCAAAAAATGGTGGCACCTGCTACTTTCAGTGAAAACTGTAGGATGATCCTTACAACACAGAAACAGGAGCAAGGCCACTTGACATTTCCTGATTTTTGGAGTTGAACTTGCTGATGTCTAAATAGGTTCCCAGTGCTATCATGATGGGAAATGGGCACATGTCAAAGCATGGGAAATTCTGGTTTGGCGTAATGGAAAATGAATACTCAAACATGGTGTCTGGCATTTCCACTCATAGAGATGGCCTGAGCTTGATCAGACACAGCCTTGGGACCAACTTCAAGCAGGGACTGAGACTAGATGACCTCTACACATCCCTCCAAGCCTAAATTTATCTGTGAATCTGTGTGATTACCGAATCTTGATACTTTTTAAAAGCAAATTTGTAAGATCAGTTACACAGAGCTGAGATCCACTCCATATTGCAAGTCAGTGATGTCAAATTTTTGTATTTTCCCCTTTGAAAAAGTTACAGATTTTTTGTTTTCACACTTGGTGTTAAAACATTACGGCTATCTTTTGATCAAAGATGCTACTTAAGCTTTTATTAGGCTAGATCACACACAGTCTGAAGAGCTCAGGCTTTGCACAGAGTTTTGTATCTTCATTTTGTTTGATTTCACAGAAACATTATCTATCTAAACCAGAAATGGCAAAAATGCATAGTAAACTAATCGCAAAAATATAAACAACTTTATAATTTCCACTGCCTCTACAAAAAATTTCAGTGCTGATTCTAAGTGGAGTGATTGAGACAGAAATAGTGTCTGAGGACAGGGTCATCATAAGCAGCATACTTAAAAAAATTGTGTTCAGCTGTTTGCAAATCAGTATATTATTTCTTTATCTAAACGCAAAAAGGAATCAGGTTGAGGAAGCATCACAGAAGTTTATTTCTCCATATTTTTCTTCTTTTTCCATACAACTTGTAAGTATTTTAAAAAGTTGTTAGTTTGTAGTTAATCTTTTCAAGGTCATAGACAATCACTTGTGGATGCACTAGTCCTAAGTTGCATAAACACATAATATTCAATATTGTCCGAACAGTAGTTTTCTGTAAGTCTAAGGTAACAGGGTACAAACAATAGGATTCACGTAGCTTGGCTGTGATTTTTTCCCATTTAGCAACAGAACTGAAACAGGTGGTATATGTCATGGGAAAAGCTGCTGCCTGAAACCATTCAGTCAGTAATATTAAAACACTTTAAATAATACAGCATGAATGCAAAACAAATTAAGACAGATGTGGTTGCAAAATAGTTTTCATCAGTGTAGCACTTAGATCAACTCTTTCTTCAATGAAAGCAGTATAGTATTTGTAATACAACTGTGGCTTTTAGGAACTCTAAGTGAATTTTCGTAAAACTCAGGTAAATAATGTTCAGTGTAATTTTTATAAAGCTTCTAAACAACATGATACCTCAGTTAACTGCATATGACTGAAACAGAAATTATTATTTAGAGTCCTTTGAGAGCTGAATAACTCTGTTTTTAAAATTTTCTTGCAGCACTGGCAAGAAACTGGTAATATAAACATACTGGTGGAATTGTTTTTTTTTACTATTGTGATTAGAAAGGTGGGCTCTTAAGTACATATATTTTTCCATAAGACTTCAATTTTCAAATGATCCTGATCTCCATATGTTTTTAAAGTCATCTTACTATTGTCTGGTCATTTTTCCCACAAATTTTTGTATTATATTATACTACTTTAATATGGACATTTTAAATATACTGATTCCATTGAAGAATGGGAGTTTCATCTCATTTTTTTCTTTGAAAGTATCTTTCTAACATAAAAAGTAGTGTTGCTTATGAGGAGTTATATCCTCTGCTCTTGCATTGTTTTTGTGGGGTGTGTCTTTCCTCTTGCATGCCAAAGCATTGCTAGATACCCTGATAAAACAACATGCCAACATGTTGCAAGTCTTAAAAGGAATGTTGCTTTAAAAGGTATTTTAAAATGTGTTGTAACTTCAGGAAAATAATATCCAAAATGAAATAATGAACTGTAGAGTAATTTAGATTGGAGTGATCTCTGAGGAGTCATTTGGTGTGGGCTCCTGCCCTGCGCTGCATCCGGAGATAGTTCATTCATTTGAGCTCAAGGGCTTCTCCAGGAGAGGTCTAACCATCTCCATGAAGGAAGATTTGACATCTGGGCATATCTGCTCAAGAGCTGAGCTTCTCTCACTTTAGGGAATAATTTCCTCATGTTCAATCAGAATTTCTCTCTCTGCAACTTGCAACTGTTTTCTTTCACT